CCTTAATATACAGGTTCGATCGTAGTTACAAAAAATAACGCCTAGCGTATCTTCCGTTTGTCCGTGAAGGCCACGTTTCCGGTCACCGTCGAGTGGCCTTAATATACAGGTTCGATCGTAGTACAAAGAATAACGCCTTAGTAGCGGATCTTTGCTGAAACCCACCTGCGGTCGGCCGATCTCCTCCATGCAGGTCTCCGCCGGGTCCGACGAGAAGCCGAGCAAAAAACTCATCGTCACGAACAGAAAGTAGAGGCAGATCAGCGAGAAGCGGAACTTCTCGTCCACGCCTCCCTGACCAATACAATATACAAGTAATACAGTATAGTGTATACAACAATACAGGTGTAATTAGTTAGGCCTAAGAAAAAAAGATGTTTGTTTCTGGTAACGAGCTGAAAAAAAATTGGACACGGTAGGCAGGCAAAACTTTTTTTTTATCAAAATTTTTTATTTATTTTTGTATTCTAACCAATACTTGTTTGTATACTCTTAACTCAGACCAATATAATGACTTCAAAGTCAAATCAATGCATTCACCGATCGAATCAGTCATCGCGATCTTTTTTTATTAAAAAAAATATTTTTTAAAGTATTGCTTTATATGTTATTTTTGCCTATCACAATAAAAAGTTCGGACCCGACGGTTTAAATTGGACTCGTCGGGTAACTACGATCGAACCTGTATATTAAGGCCACTCGACGGTGACCGGAAACGTGGCCTTCACGGACAAACGGAAGATACGCTAGGCGTTATTTTTTGTAACTACGATCGAACCTGTATATTAAGGCCACTCAAGAATAACCAGAAACGTGGCCTTCACGCACAGGCGGTTGTTCTATAGAGGTGATGGATGAAATTGGGTGACGACGTGGGTCTGACTGTGTTAGTTTTGCTAGGATCGTTGGTTTCTGTTGCATCTAACCCGAGGTTTGGCATAGGGCATTTTGAGGTTGGTCGTGGTTTCGTTGTGTGAATATGTTACGCGGTTTTTACTATGTGTGATCTTGAAATGATTGACGCATCAACATTCTCTGGTGAGGTTCACTCACAGTTGAATTTGTTCCCTTTGTTGCACTTGTATGAATGCATTGATAGCGCACAGTATGTGCCTGGATTTACCCTGTTCAATTTGACATCCTAACGTCGTCATCATCAAGTAAAAAAAATTCAAATGAATATTGTCATATACTTATGCTAATTGTGTAGGTTAAACTTGTGTAGGATGTGCTTGTGTAAAGAGATGATTGCTATTCTTTTTTTATTTTGCATTCTGTAGAATCCATGCAAGCAGAAAACATCATCATTTTACAGCAACATAACATACGGCTGGTGTACAAGGTGGGTGTCAGGTCTTGCAACACATGTTGGATGGTATAGCTCAAATAGGGGTGAAATACTGGTGAAGAACACTTAGGCACATTTAACACCCTGGCTAACTGTAAGGTGTGTGTAAAGTGCCACAATCAATATTGTATCCCTCTTTAATTGTTTTTTTTTATCGAAATCATGATTTTTAAACAATTTTCTTCTTTCTAGTTGCACATTGCAAGCTTAATACTATTCTCTTAGGTTCTCATTTATTGTGTAACCTATTGAATGGCTTTAGCTGTTTCGTCATTAACCGTCGCAAAAATAACAAACCGCCATTTTAGGGAACTGTTCGCACATCGTAACATTGCTGCTTTCGCAAACAACGTAGCAGCCGCAACAGGACGACAACGGGCTGCTGCACGTTTTTTTACGATCTCGTTCTCGCGGGTTTTTTTGACGATCTCGTTCTCGCGGGGTTTTTTCAGCCTGTGTATTTTAGGCTACCGCAAGGCGCTCGAGAACAAGGACTTGTGGGACCTGAACACGGAGGACACCTGCCAGCGCCTGGTGCCCGAGTTCGAAGCCAAGTGGAACAAGGAGATAATGAAACTAAAAAGGTCTGGGTCGTACACAACCTTGGGATTTGCCGTTGCCAGGCCATTTACTGCCTGGAGTTGTGTTGTAGATATGCAGTGGGCGTTAGGGCCGGTAAAGGGAAAAGCCGAGTTGAATTCTTCCTGCGGTAGACGTCGTGAAGTTAACGTGCGCATCAGCACGAGTCTTCCCCACGTGGGAGGTGGCGTTAGGGCCGGTAAAGGGAAAACCCGAGTTGAATTCTTCCTGCGGTAGACGTCGTGAAGTTAACGTGCACGTCAGCACGAGTCTTCCCCGCGCGGAAGGCGGAGTTAGGGACGGTAAAGGGAAAAACCGAGTTGAATTCTTCCTGCGGTTGGCGCATCGTAGAGTCGGCGTGATCGAGTCGTCGGCGCGTGTGGGTCGTCTCTCACGCTCTCCCTCGGCTCATCGTTGCAGGTCGAAGGCGGTGAGGCGGGCGGAGCAGGAGGCGGGACTGGAGCAGAGCCCCGCGTACACTCCCTCCGTGTTCATGACGCTCGTGCGCGCCTACGGCCCCCTGGTGGCGTACGCGTCGGTGCTGAAGATCTTCAGCGACCTGATGCAGTTCATTGCGCCGCAGCTTCTCAAGTGAGTCGAGGTCGTGTCAAGGTTGCGAGTGATTCGTCAAGGGCATTTCGGGGCCTCGTGCGATGGTGGGACGTCGGTGCGTCACGACCCCCCCATTTACTCACATTCTACTGTCTTAGCATTATTTTGTTCTCTCTCTTTCTCTCTCTCTCTCTACCTCTCTCTCTCCTCTCTCTCTCTCTCTCTCTCTCTCTCTCTCTCTCTCTCTCTCTCTCTCTCTCTCTCTCTCTCTCTATTCTGTTCTCTGCCTCTTTCCTGCTCTCTTCCAATCTCTTGATTGCTCTTTCTTTCTCTCTCTCTCCCTCCCTCTCTCTCCTCTCCTCATGCTCTTTCTCTGATCCCTTCCCCATCCCTCCCTCCGCCTCTCTCTCTCTCTCTCTTTGTAAATTCTATGCATAAATTTGTCTGACATGCTCCACCCCGTGTGAGTAACAGCTGTGATGTGGGGGGGGGGAGAAGTGAGGATACGCCATCCTTGCCTGATGCGTCGTTTCAGGTACCTGATCGCGTTCACCAGCAACCCGGCGGAGCCGCTGTGGCGTGGCCTCTTCTACACGGTGCTGATGTTTGCGTCGGGCTGCGTGCAGAGCATCCTCACGCAGCTGAACTACACGACGATGCTGCAGGTCGGCCTGCGCATACGCTCGGCTCTCACCAGCATCATCTACAAGAAGGTGAGGTGGGCTTCACGGCTCTCGCGTTACAGGAGCTTCCTTCTGGGCTTTCTTTGTTCGCGGCTTCCGTCTCTTTTGTTACGGGAGCTTTCTTCTTGGCTTTCTTTGTTCACGGCTTCCGTCTCTCGCGTAACAGGAGCTTCTTGGCTTTCTTTGTTCGTGGCATCGCGGCTTCTCTATCCTGTAATGCGTGTCCGTGGCGTTGTGGCTTTCCCTACCCTGTAAGAAAGAATGCGTGGCTTTGTGGCTTTCCCTAATCTGCAGCATGTATGTAAGGATTCGTGGCTGTCCTTCCTTGTAACGTGTATGTAAGGATTCGTGGCTTCCCTAATAAAAAAATTTATAAAATTAAAATTCATTCGTTATTCTCTGTAATACAAACGAATGGCACCGATTTGACGATCGTGGGGTGGGTGTTCTCTTGTTCAGGCGTTAACGATGTCGAACGCCGCCAAGAAATCGTCGACGGCGGGCGAGATCGTCAACCTGATGTCCGTTGACGCTCAGCGACTGATGGACCTGATGAACTACGTCTGCATGCTGTGGTAAGTATGCGCACGCCTCGTCTTTACAGTAAAACACACATCTTATTAATAACATAAACATAAACACGTGACGTGACATGACGTGACATAACATATCATAACATAACTACGTCTCCATGCTGTGGTAAATACACGCGCCTCGTCCTTGCAGTAATACACACATCTCATTAATAACATAAACATAAACACATGACGTGACATGACGTGACATAACATATCATAACATAACAACACAACGTAACGTAATGTAACGTAACGTAACATAAACACTTCACATTAATTAAATTACATCGTTACACCCTCCAGACAAGACATTCGTAGAGATAAAAATGGAGGGTGATGATGCAACCATCTAAACTGGAAAATTCAACTTGCCATTGTCTTTGTCTTTGTTACGATTGAAGAGGTGTTTTTCTGTATTTAAACCTTTCAGATATACGATCGTTCAATATATAACCCTTTGAATAAACACGATTGAGTAAAAATTAACCAAGATTATATAGATCTATTATCTACCAACCGAATGAACTTATTTAATGAGACCATTCTTGGTTTTGTCATTACCAGCATGGCAGACTTTTCACGGCTTGTTTTCGCCAACGTATCTATCGTCCTGAGTTTTTATCGAGCTATCGATATCGTATAGACACGTTTAGGTTGCTCCCTGAAGTTGGTGATCACTAGATTCATTTTTACTACGCGTAAGTTTGTAGTTCAGTGAGCGAGTGTAATTTGATGTTGCAGGTCGGCACCCATCCAGATTGCGCTAGCGCTGTATTTCCTATGGCAGGAGCTAGGTGTCTCTGTGCTAGCTGGGCTCGCAGTCATGCTGCTTCTCATCCCAATTAATGGGGTCCTTGCTGCTTTCACCCGAAAATTCCAGGTACGTACATTCCACGCAACTTTATTTCTTTATTTATTATATTATATTATTTCTATATTATTATTTTTTTATTCTTTATTTCTTCAAATTTCGTTCGACAATTTAGAATCTTTATGAGTAATAATTTCAGAACCAATACGCTGCCAGTGTGTTATCTACAATAGGCTTAGCATCTCGGAATTCATCACTGTGCCATCGGAAGAGAGATTACGGACTCTGTGATGACTTTTGTTCTAATTCCATAACTTTTATTTAATATTTCCTGCAGACACGTCAGCTGAAGTTAAAAGATCAACGAATAAAGCTGGTCAATGAGGTCTTGAATGGAATGAAGGTAACTCTTTTGCAGCGAGAAACAAAATGATGCCGTCACTGTCATGGGTTTAGATATATTAGTGTAGCTTCTTGTCTCACGACTGTCACTTTGAAATATTTCTCTATATTTAATTTTTATAGATTTATTATCTTTTAGTTTAACCCTAACATATCTCTCCCACTCTAACATATCTCCCTCCCAACATATCTCCCCTAACCTAATGTATCTTCCCTACTCTTAACATATCTCACCTAATGTATCTTCCCTACTCTTAAAATATCTCACCTAATGTATCTTCCCTACTCTTAAAATATCTCACCTCATGTATCTCTCCCACTCTTAACGTATCT